TTTGGCGGGGATGGTGGGGGCGGCAGTTGTTTTGTTTTAAACATGACTGAAGTTCTTGAGTAATTCCCTCTTTCCCACACTAGAGCGTGAGCTCTTCAAGCCAAGAACTTTGTCCTAATCATCTTCCTATTCACAGACCATTGCTTGGCACAAAGCAGGTTCTCTGTGAATGTCAATAAGTGAAAAACTGAAGAAATACAAGATTTTCACAACATCGGGCTTTAATGCAGCATATTTTTATTTAAATTGAAGTTTAAAACTCAGAGCAAGTCCTTAAACTGGTTCAGTGAATATTAATTTGGGAGCTGCTGTTCTTCCATCTTATTTTCTTTTTTTCAAATTTATTTCAAAGACACAGTGATGGAAGGGAAGAAGGAAAGAGGGAAGAGGGATAGAGACAGAGAGCACACACCATCTTCTGTCCGTTGTTTCATCCCCAAAATGGCTGCACTGCCATGGTCCAGGAGCCTGGAGCTCCCGTACTTGGGCTGGCCATCTTTCACTGCTTTCCCAGGTGCCTTAGCAGGGATTTGGGTTAGAAGAGGGGCAGAAAGGATTTGAACTGCTGCTCTGATTGGGTCGCTGATGACACAGGCACTGTAACACCACTCTGCCCCTTCTCCCTCTTGTTTAAATCCCTAGTTGCCTTCCTTATTACCCAGAAAATTAACACAGCCTAGAGAACAGACCCTAACAATGTTAACATCACTTATGTATCTCATAAAGTACTCTATACAATATCACTCTATACTACAAAAGTACTTCCACCTTCATTATTTTGGGTGATCCTTCCACAAGTTCTGTGAGGTAGGCTGGAAAGGTAGTGCTGTGGGAGAGCTATCAGTCAGATCCTTGCGTTTAGTTACAGTACTGTGAGAAAAGAAAAGACATATCCAGACAAATAAAACCCAAGAGATTCTCACTACTTGAAGGGCCTACTGAAAAAAAAAAAGCATCTAAAAGATATTCTCTATAAATTAAATTCACGGGGGAAAAAATGCGATGAAAAGAGCAAAGGACTTTCTTATAAATAAACTGACAAAAGCCTCAATGGCTACTGAAAGAGTTCATGACTGTTACTTGTAAAGTATCAATACTGAACAAAAAATAAATGCAAAATGGGCAGGGTATGATTGAGTTAAAATGTTCTTAAGATCCTTGCATTGCTTGAGAGGAAGATAATGATTAATTTTAGACTTTATTAATATCAGAGTGTATGTTCTTCAAAATCGGTATGCATACATAATTTTTAAAACAGTATAGGAAATAAAACACATTATCATTACCCAACATCCACCAAACGTAAAATCAAAACTTATTAAAACCAGTCCATTTGGGACCTGGCGCAGTGGCCTAGTGTCTAAATTCCTCACCTTGAATGCACTGGGAACCCAAATGGGCACCAGTTCTAATTACAGCAGCCCCAGTTCCCATCCAGCTCCCTGATTGTGGCCTGGGAAAGTAGTCGAGGATGGCCCAAAGCCTTGGGACCCTGCACCTGCGTGGAAGACCTGGAAGAAGTTCCTGGCTCTTGGCTTCAGATCAGCTCAGCTCTAGCCACTGAAGCTACTTGGGAAGTGAACCAGCAGATAGAGGATCTTTCTCTCTGTCTCTCCTTCTCTCTGTAAATGTGACTTTCCAACAAAAAAATAAATCTTAAAAAAAAAAAAAAGATTAAACTTAAAAGGAAGAAAATATAGGGGGAAAAAAACCTAAAAAGCATGAAGAAAGCCTATGAGACTTATGAGCACCACTAGGCAACCATAATGTTTGAATATTACAGAAGAAAAGAAGCAAAAAGGCACGAAACATTCAGTGAAATTATACTTGGAAAATTCCCAAATCCTTGGAAAGCATAGGAATTCAGGTCAAAAACACTCAAAGGATCTCAGACAGCTAAGGTGGTCCTATGTAAGGCATACTGCAGTCAGACTGTCAAAGCACAGGACAGAGTAAAGTCTAAAACCAACATGAAAAAAGCATCAATTCACATGTAAGAAAATCCCTGCTAAACTAACAACAGTCTTCTCAGTAGAAACTGTTCAGGCTAGGAGAGAGTAGGAGAATGCTGTCAATCAAAAACACTATACCTAGCAAAGATAACCTTCAGAAATGAAAGAGAGATCAAATCTTTTTAAGACAAGCAAAGACCTAGGGAATTAATTACTGCCAAACTAAGCTTTAAAGAAGCTTAAAGGACACCTACAATAAAAGCAAAAGGATAATTACCATTATGAAAATACACAAAAGTGCTCACTTTGGCAGCATGTATGCTGAAAATGGAACGATACAGAGAAGATTAGCATGACCCCTATGCAAGGATGAAAATACACAAAAGCACAAAGTTTACTAGTAGAACAGATGTATAAAAGAAAAAGAAAACTCAATTTTACCAATACAAAAAAGCCTACCAAACCACAAGATGAGTAAGAAAGGAAGAAAAGAAACAAATGGTTTACAAATCCACCAAGAAAAAATAAAATGACAGGAGTATATAATTACTTATCAGTAATACACTTGAATGTAAATGGGTTAAATTTACCAAATTAAAATATCTAGATTGGCTAAATGAATTAAAACATAAGACTTGATGATATCTTACCAACAATAAATTCACTTCATAAAGACACACAGTGAATGAAAACGATGAAACAGTGGGGGGGGGGGGCGGTAAAAAAAAAAGTGAAGGAACAGAAAAAGCAGGAATAGTTGTATTTACATCAAATAAGTCATTAAGTAAAAACCTGCAAAAATAGATGAAGGCTACCACTCAATGGCAACAAGTTGTATTTAACAGGAAACAATAATTATAATTAATTACGCACCTAGTGTGATCCTATGTTTATAGCAACACAATTCACAATAGCTAAGATATTAAAATAACCCAGATGCCCACTAATAGCGGAATAGATAAAGAAATTGTGGTATGTCTACTCAGTTATAAAAAAGAATGAAATCTTGCCATATGCAACAAAATTGTCTCAGCTGGAAACCATTCTGCTTAGTGAAGTAAGCCAGTCCCACACATTCTCTGTAAAGCAGCTAATCCATCTACATCAAATTGTGTGTGTGTGTGTGTGCCTCGTCGTGCACAAAATAACCTCCCAGTGAATTAAATATGTAAAAATAAGATCCAAAACTGAAACTACTAGAAGAAAACATAAGGGACATACTATGAGACAGTCATCCAGAAGGGGGAAAAAAAGAGAGATGACTCCAAATTACAACAAAAATTGACAAATGAAATTACAAAAAAAAAAACATTGAGTTTTCACACAGCAAAGGAAATGATCTGCAGCCTGAAAAGAAAACCTTAAGAGCAGAAAATATCTGCAAGCTATTCATCTGTCAAGAGATTAAAATCTAGAATATACAAGGAATTCAAATAACTCAGCTGCAAATAAAACAATAACCTGATTTTTTAAAAGGACAGGTAGTTTGAATACATAACTCTCACGAGAAAACACACAAACAGCAAACAAGTATTCGGTAGATGCTCAATACCACTAGTCATAACAGGGCATTTCCCATCAAAATCACAATGAGATAGTACCTATCCCAGTGATCCAGTGGATGCAAGACTCTCTCTCTCCCCCGTCTCTGTTAAATTTACCTTTCCAAATAAATCTTTTTTTAAAAATTTAAAAAGCATGGGGGAAAAAAAGATGCCCTGGCAAGCAGTCTTAAGAGCTTCAAAAGCCTCTTTTATAGATGTGTGGAAGTCATGCTGTTACTAATCAAAGTAACTTCACTTCCTTGAGCAGCTGAAGGTTTTTGGAGGAGTGCTCTTTGTAGTCATGAGAACAATTAAAAAAATAACAGATGGTGCTCAAGCACAGAGGGGCAACAGGTTACAGGGCAGGAGGACACATAGAGAATTACAGGTGAAGTATTATCAGCCAGCTGTGTGGTCTCAGACTCAGAAAATGGTCCGGCTCATTAGAGCTATGATTTTCTGATTTTGTGCAGACAGATCTGGGCTCTGGAGGAGCTGAGGCCGCATCCTCACGCAAGGATGCACAGAGTTCTGCCATGGATTTACAAGGCCGAGGCACGCCAGAGTGGGCGTGCTGGCGGTCACAGCATGCAGCAGGACACTCTGATGTCCTGAGGAAGTTTACGAGATGATTAACAAGATTATGGAGTTAGTTTCCTCGGCACTCCTCAATGGCAGGTCCCCTGGAAGGCAGTTATTCCTGATTATCAGCATCATTTAAGCCAACAACGGATAGAGATGCGATAAGCCATTTTTTAAGCTGGCAGAACTCTCTCTATAAAAGATCAGAAGAGCTTAAGTATAAAAACTGAAAAGCAGTCAGCCAGAGCCATAATTCTGCCTCCCTCGCCTTCCTCTCCCCAAAGGAAACCGCTTCGCCTTCCTTCGCAGAGTGTGTCCTCTGTTTGCTTCCTCTATTTTTCCCCCCTTTCTCCCCTATTTGGCTTTGGGGTGGTCTTAAAACCTTCCTTCCCTTGTTGTTTGAGTGTTGGTTTTATATTGCATGGAGCAAGGAAGCCCAGGAGACTATCCTGGGTTTCTGTCTCAGATGTCGACATCCTTCCCTGCCCTGAAACAGGTGTGCAGGCTTGTGCATCCAACCACTGATGCCTGCAGGCGGCTCAGACAACACTGGTCCATGCCGTGTCTTCTCAGCATTTCAACGATTCACTAGAAGTCTCTCTCGGGGCTCTATAAAATCACTCACAACCAACCCTAAGAGGTATACATTTAAAACAAAGATGAGATGTTCTTTATTGGAAAAACAAGTAGTTAGCTACAAAGCAAAAAATAAAGCAAACTGAATAAAACAGAACTAAGAACTTATAAATCAGATTATAAAGCAACATTCTGCTGACATTTAAATAATGAAATTCCATGGCAACATTGTAACTGGTGCTTTTTTGCCTGCAATCCCAGATTTCTCTTGTTTGGGACTTGACAGAAGTTTCATCTCTCTTGGGACTTAAAGCTTCCCATGGAATCAACATTATTTACAACTTACTTGTGCTTGTTTGCATACTTTAAAAGGGTGAAGTGTTTCTTGGTAGAAAAGTTGATGATAAGCCTGTAGGTCAAACCAAAAGTACACACTGTTCTTCCACAACTGCAGATGAGAAAAGTGCAGAGTATCACCACCCAGTTGAGGCTCTACAAAGCTTCAGTTTCAGATATAAATAATTGCTCAGCTCTTTACTGTTACCATAAACTGGGTTCAGTTAAGATGGTTTTAATTTTCTATTACAAATTGGCAATATACAAAATATTTGCGTTAGTATTGTCATTAACACACTACATTTTTACATATAATTTTGCTGTTTCTCTCACATGATTGGTCACTTACCTAAATAGTAAGCTTTATAGTTAAGAGTTAAAGAATAACCACATATTTTTGGCATAAAATCAAAATCTGAAGGAATATACATCTTGGCAAATCTATATCACAGCAAAGTTATTACTGTAATAATTCAGCCAATGAGATTTTCATTTGTGCAAAATGAAAACTGTATGATTTTGGCATTATTTATTGTATTTTTCCAGTTGACGGAATCAAAAATTAAAGAATCAATCTATACTAACTCTGAATTTTTCAAAAATTACATTAAAATAAAATTATCTAAAAATAAGCCATTGTTAATACAAGTCAATCCTTGTACTGTACTTTTCGTGGTAATTTTAATAGTATGGCAAGCTAAATAAAATTGTAATTGAGATGTTTTGATTTTTACTAAATATTCATATAAATTTTCCTACCAGGTATACAAACTAAACACAATTATTTGGGTACTGAATAGTTTCAACACTGCTTTTTAACGAGGTAGTTTCTTTATTTGAAAAGCAATTACAGAGAGAAAAGGTGAGGGACAGGAGTGGGAGGAGAGAAGAGGAAAAGAGAGAGAGAGAGAGATAATGAAAGAAAGCAAGAGGATCTTCCATGATGGGTCACTCCCCAGACAGCTGCAGTGGCCAGTAAGGGTTGGGCTAATCTGCAGCCAGGAGCTCCATGAGGGTCTCCTAGGTTGGTATAAGAGCCCAAGCACTCGGGCCATCTTCTGCTGCAGTGCTAGGCATGTCACCAGGGTACTGCATCAGAAATGAAGCGGCTGGGACTCGAACTGGCACCCACATTGGATCTAGCATCGCCAGCAGCAGCTTAACCACAATGTCAGCCTCCACAACTTATTTCTGAGTGAAGCAAAATAAAATTTAAATAATTATTTTTTACCTGGTTCCCTGAATGCTCGCAGAATTTAGTGAAGAAAAATCCTGCTCTATTTTCTACATACAAAGATTGCAACAAATTTTCCATGTCAAATCCTCCTAAGGCACCGACATCTGAGGCAGTTTTAACCTAGGGAACAAAACCCAAGTCCGTTATCTACCCCAAAACACTGTAATTTTCTTTTGTGTGTGTGTGTGTGTGACCAGGTAAACAGTTTCATCAATTCTGCCATTTTCTCATTTTTTCACTACACCATTTTAGATTTGTGCTAATTTGTAATTAATGCAATATGTTTGCATGAGACTGCCATAAGGGTTTTTTTATGAAGCCCAATTACAGCAGAATTCGTTCAATTATAAACCAATCTGATTTCAAACTTAATACCGAAGCAACTTTCCAACTTCAATTATTTTCACATCTCAGAACCAACTGATACCATTTTAGGAGTCTTCCCAATCTCTGTTGGTGGCCGCTTTCCTACAAATTTACTGTTATTTTAGCCTTGAGGTGCTGCTGTGACAGCTACAAGGGGGTTATAAAAAGAATTATCTTCAAGGCCTCTCCGTGCTTCTCATTAACTGTTCTTAGGGGGGTCCCTCTTGGCACAGTCTCACTCCACATAGGTCATGGCCTGCAGAGAGCAAATGGCAGGACAAGTTCTCATAAAACTGCTGTTTACAGCTTCCCTGCAACAGTGCTGGCCGTCCCACTATCATTTTTGCAAGTGCAGAAGACCGGCTATTTCTACAAGCACAGGGGTGGCTCCAGAACAAGCAAGGCCATGAGCTCTCTGCTGTCTGTTATGCAGAACTCAGAGCTCTCTGCGTTCCCGACGCAGGTAGAAGATGAACAACATGGAGTTTAAGCGTCTGCCTCGTGCTCTGTCTCTGTCTCTCTCTGCCTTCCTCTGTGTTTGGTAGCTAAATAAACTCTGCGGTGAAGACTCCATGTTTTTAGGATGTTTAGCTACCAGCACTGCAAATCCGAAAGAGAAAAAAAGAAATCATTATTTTAGTAAAAACAACATCCTAATTAGAAGAAAATGAGATATTGGCTTAGAACAATATAAATGGTTACAAAAATTATAGCTAAGTGTTGAGATTTTCCTGGCACTGCTGCAGTTTGTACTAATGATTGTAATCCTCAGTGAATATGAAACTTTTACCTAGAATTAATGCACTGAATCCATGCCACCAAGGATTTAATTTCTCCTGGAAATATTCTGGTTTTTATATATCCCTGAAACATAACATTGAAATTGAACCCCTATAACAAAAAGGTAACACACAGCCTCATGTCTGTCTCATTTAGCCCGTGGCATTCTTGTGTGACCTTTATCAAAAGGCACTGGCCACCTTGCAGGAGGGATCCATCTGGCCAGACAAGGGTCTAAAGAAGGGACTCAAGTTATTTGTTTGTTCAATAGCTGAAAACCTTGATGGCTAGCCTTATCTGGAGGGGTCTGTTTCAGGGCATTTCAGAACTGGGGCAGAGTGTAACTGCCACCTGCATGTAAACCCTAGATCAACGGAAGCCCACCTGGCCCTCCTAATTCTCTACAGAGCACAGCATCACCGACCAATCCAAGGAAGGTCACGAGCACCACTGACGGTAAGGAGCTGATCACCCACCCCTCAGCCCCGACTTCAGTTTACATGAACCTTCACTCCTAACTCCTGGGGGAGTGCAGGAAATAAGTAGTCTTGTCTGGCTCCTTGCCATGCACTTTCCAAAAAACACCTACTTCCTCTCACCAGCCTCTTGTCGGTAACTGGCTTTCTGCCCATCAAGTGAGTGGACCTGGTCTGGGAATTCTGTGGCAACACCTTCAACTAGTTCGGGATGCTGTTTGACAACAGATCAAATCTCATTTTTTACTACATTACAAATTGAATAAAAGGCCTAGAGGATCTTATTTTGTGTCAGAGGTCGCATCATACCCAAAGTAGAACACAGTTCTAGTAATCAATAGTCTAAACAGTCACAATACAATAAGAGGAAATTCTTTCGTAAATATCCTATAGCCTGAAAATAATAATAATAATAATAATAATAATAATAATATGTGTTGTTTAGAAAATAAGTCAATAAGAAATCTCTGTAATTAGGAAACACTGGTAAACTAAATTAAGAATCAGGTTCTCTGTCCTTAAAATACTTAACCTTTTGTTCCTCTGTGTAAGTATATTTTCTTTCCAGCTGGGGTTTCAAGCATTCAGAAATGTCAGTGAAAGATGTCAACTGGACAACCTTGCTGCTTTTCAACATGGGCTTTGACCTGGATGACACAGATGAGAACTTGCAGATCAACAAATTAATTCTGCGCACTTTCACTATGTTAGGAGTGCTTCTGAGTGATTAGTAACAAACAACCAATAAACACTCATTTCAGCCCGAAGAAGTGATTGAGAAAATGAGGTCCAGTTTTACAGAAAGACAGCACTCAAAATCACTGCTGATTTAAATGGAATCAAGGGTGCATGTCATAGATGACAAAGTAGATAAGATGGATAATAAATACTATAGGAATGTAAGAATAAAAAGTCTTTGAGTTTTGTTTGCTAAAAAAAAAAGAAATGAGATTTCTTTCTGAAACAGTAATAGAATACATATTCCTGTATAAATCTTTGTGGAGGGGAGGGATTTTTTTTTTTCATTTTAGAAAAGCATAGAGTGGACAAAAAAACGTAGATAGGAGGGAAAATCCTTGTTTAAAAGGCAGCAAAGTTAATGTGCTCAGAGTATGAAGACACCAATAGTTGCACACTCAATGTCACATACCATACATTATGCTACATTTAATCCACACAAGAGGTAGAACTCTTAGGGAACTACACAGGTACTTTGGTGTCAGCTAATTACTTGAAGACTAGGCTGCGACTCCTAATTTGCAGTAGGCAGGTGAGGGACAAGCCTCTACTACACATCAATGAGATAAAAGAGCCCACGTAAAAACACCCATGCGTTGGTTTTAAACTTTTAATTTAAAAAAAATTCTCCAAAAATTTTACCACAGCCAAAAAGCACTTTAAATACGTAGAGATGCACCTACCCTTTCTCGGCCACGTCATCCTTAGAAGAAGCTGGGTATGAAGACACGCGCTTCAGAGACTTCTGGGTTATGGATTTTGCTCTAAGTGATTTCTTGGAAGATTTTGGGGGTTGAAATAAATTGGATTCTTCTTTCTAGAAAGCAGAAAAATAATGAACAAATAAAAAAAAACCCAGGAGACTAGAGGATACATACTTGTTTTGATCACAAGAGGATTTCTTCCCTCACTGTATCTCCTTGTGAAACCTATTCTACCTAGTCAAACCAAAATATCTTTGGTCCATAAATTATACATATATATTCAAATATTTATTAATTTTCATTTTGATTTGAAAGGCAGAATTTCAGACAGAAAGAGACAAAGGTTAATGTTTCATCCAATGGTCCAACTCCCCAAATGCCCTCAACAGCCATAATTGAGCCAGATGAAGCCAGGATGTAGGAACTTCACGCAGGCCTTCCACATGGGTGGCAGGGTCCCTAGTCCTTGGACCATCCTCTGCCGCCTCCTGGGGTGCACATTACCAAGAAGCTGGATCGGCACAGAGTAGCTGGGACTCAACCCAGGCACTCCAATACAGGTAACCCAAGAAGCAACTTAAATTCTGTGCTAAATGTCCACCCAGGGGTTTCTACCTATTTAAAAAAACTTTAAAAAAAGGTTTATTTATTTGAAAGGCAGAGTTACAGTGAGAGAGGGAGATCTTCTACCTGCTGGTTCACTCCCCAAATGACTACAACAGCCAGGGTTGGATCAAGCTGAAGCTGGGAGGCAGAAGCTTCATCCAGGTCTCCCACTTGGGTCTCTCGACCCATTGGCATCACAGGCAGCAGCTGAGCCCACTATGCCACAATGCTGGCCCTTGGGCCTCTATCTTAACGACACCATTTTCTCCCATTTTTGAATGTTTTGTTTTCATAGTTATTTTCGCCATTTTTAAAAAGTCCCTTATAATAAAAGTTAAAATTTTAAATCCAGACTATAAAATGCTACATAAATTTGTTAAAAAGATCAAAAAGCATTCAAAAACAAATATTAAAATGAAGGAGAAAAAAGTTATTATGAGTATGAAATACATAAAAATATAAATGTATGGTACTTCAAAATAGTAGCTATGGAAATGATGACACACATGCAAAAATACTGATGAAGTTAAAAGAAATAACTAAAACATAAGAGATTATTTGCATTAAAATAATATTCACAATAAGAATTTTCAAAAAAAGTCAGTAGTTTTCTAGAAGTAGGTGAAATCAGAAATGATGTCTCTTTCCCTAATTTCAAGTGTACAATAATTTATTCTATTGATAATTTTAAAAATGAGCATAAAAACATTTTTAATATGTCAACTTCTACTACAGTGTAGTCATTGTTGAAAAGCAAGGACTAGATCCCTGATGTTTATTATTAAAAAGAAGGAATAAAATCATATATATGTTGTACACCTAGTAACTAGCAATAACTAGTAAATATTTCTATAAACAATCAGTTACTTAAATATAAGTTCTATGTGAAAATTCCTAAGGACTATGACTCAGATCTGCTTTATTAATTCAGAACACAGCATAGCACCAAACAGTCAACAAATGAGAGGTACTGCAGAAGACTGGGCTTACAATTTAAAGATATCACACCAAAAAGTCAGATTGACAGAGAAAATAAAATCGTGATCACCTGCTCTGGGAGAAGTTGGATTAGCAAGATGAAAAAGTATTGGAGATCTGCTTCATGAAATTGTGAATATACTGAACACTACTGAACTATATGTACACTTAAAATGATTATCAGAAAATGTGTTACTTTGAAAAAAAATTAACTTATTTGAAACAACTCTAGAGAAAAAAGGGAGTACCTTCCAGAGCTAGAGAGAGAGAGAGAGGCCTTCCATCGTCTGGTTCATTCCCCAGACGACCGCATCAGCAATGCTGGACCAGGCTGAAGCCAGGAGCCAGGAGTGCCTTCCAGGTCTCCCACCTGGATGGCAGGGGCTCAAGCATGCGAGCCAACTCTTACTGTTTTCTCCTAGGCCATCAGAATTGGAAAGGCCATAATACCAGCAACTTTGTGTGGGTTTTTTTTAAACCACATAATAAAAGTGTCTTAAAATCGACAAAAACTTTCCTTATAAATATATCACATCCAGAGAAAGGCTTAAGCCACAGTTTCGGACTTGCAGCCTTGAGAAAGCTGAAAGAGCAGTCCAAAGTAACCGATTGTGAGGGGTGGCGGTACTGGGGTTGGAACTAACCGGAAGGTGCTGCAAAGCAACTGCCACACATGATAATGATGGTGTCTCCCACAAAATGCATTTGTCAAATTTTGCAAAACTTGACACCAAAAAGGGAGAATTTTACTATATATATATGAATCACACCTTAACATTTTAATGAGGGGGAAAAAAAGCGAACTGAGTTCTATTCTTTAGGGTGTTTTCTGTCAGGAAGAGAGACCAAAATGAGTTGTCCAAGTCAGAAACCTCAATGACAACATGGCAATGACCCTCAGGAAGCCAGAGCAAGGTGGCAAGTCATCTTTATACTACTTTTCCTACACAAGCTCATCTCCCAGTCCTGGAGCATTGTTCTCTTCATTAACTGTATCTCTGATTTTTTTTTTCTACTCTTCTACCCATTTTTAAATCTGATAATGTTCTTTGTACAAACATTTATGTTACCGGGCCCGGCGCGGTGGCACAGTGGTTTAGGTCCTCGCCTTGCACGCCCGGGATCCCATATGGGCGCCGGTTTTATCCCGGCAGCCCCGCTTCCCTTCCAGCTCCCTGCCTGTGGCCCAGGAAAGCAGTCGAGGATGGCTCAAAGCTTTGGGAAGCAGAAGCAGGTGGCAATAAGGCTAATCTTCCATCTGACGGCTCCAGTATCCCATATGTGTGCCAGTTCATGTCCCGGCTGCCCTACTTCCCATCCAACTCCCTGTTTGTAGCCTGGGAATGCAGTAGAGGATGCCCAAGTCCTTTGGACCCTGCACCTACATGGGAGACCCAGAAGAGGTTCCTGGCATCCTGGTTTTCAATGGGCTCGGCTCTGGCCATTGTAGTCATTTAGGGAGTGAAGCAGTAGATGGAAGAATTTCTCACTGTCTCTCCTTCTATCTGAAACTTGCCTTTCCAATAAAAATAAATAAATCCTATAAATATGTAAGCATAATAAGGTTAATAAATTTGGACACATAAAAAGAGCATACTACACGGGCCCGGCATGGTGGCACAAGTGGTTAAGGTCCTCGCCTTGCACGCCTGAGATCCCATATGGGCGCCGGTTCTAATCCCAGCAGCCCTGCTTCCCATCCAGCTCCCTTCCTGTGGCCTGGGAAAGCAGTCAAGGACGGCCCAAAGCTTTGGGACCCTTGGGACCCTGCACCCACGTGGGAGACTCGGAAGAGTCTCCTGGCTTCGGATTGGCATAGTATTGGCCGTTGCACTCACTTGGGGAGTGAATCATCGGATGGAAGATCTTCTTCTCTGTCTCTCCTCTCTGTATATCCACCTTTCCAATAAAAAAATAATAAAAATAAATCTTTAAAAAAAAAAACATTTATGTTACCAGAAGGCATGCTCCCTGCACCACACATCCAAGAGGTGTGTTAACTGAATGGCTGGTTGATCAGGAGTGGCCTACAGAAAACACGACAAAGAGGGCAGCTATGTATCCTAAGGCTCTGCAAAGGAAACCCTCTACAAAGTGAAGAGGCAACCAGCAGAGTGAGAGAAAATAGTTGAAAATTAGTAACAGATAAAGTATTAACATCCAGGATCTATAAAGAGCTCAAGAAACTCAACATCAACAAAACAAGCAATATCCAGTTAAGAAATGGTCAAAAGACATGAACAGGCATTTTTTTTCCAAAGGATAAAATACAAATGGCCAACAGACACATGAAAAATGGTAAGAATCATCCGCCAACAGGGAAAAACAAATAAAAACGACTGAGGTTTTACCTTGTTCCAGTTAGAATGGCTATCATCTAAACATCAAAAAACAGTAAACACTGGTGAGGACATGGAGGAAAAAGGCACCCTTACATTCCCACTGTTGGTAGGAATGGAGACTAGTACAACCATTATGTAAGACAGGAGGGAGATTCCACAGGGATCTGAAACAGACCTACCATATGACCTCCCCCCATCCCACTACTGGGAATGTATAAACTCTCTCTCTCGCCCTCTCACCCTCTCTTGCCCCCTCTCCCTCTATTTCTCTCTCTCACACACACAACCCCTATGGAATACTACTCAGTCATATAAAAGAATGAAATCCTGTCTTTTGCAACAATATGGATGGAACTGGAAACCATTATGTTTAGCAAAACAAGCCAATCTCCAAAACACAAGTATCATATATATTTTTTCTACTAGGTGGTAGCTAATATAAAATACAAAACAAAAAAGGTATAGGATTGAAACAGACGTCTTGGGAAGCAAGCCAATTTCCAAAAGACAGTAGCATACAGGTTTTTCTGCTATGTGGCAAGTTAATATAAAATGTAAAAAAAAAAAGAGTAGGAATGAAAGAGGCATCTTGGGATATGATTGTTGTTTACAGCCCTTGTCTGTACTCCCATGGGAATGGTGAGCTTCATATTTTTTTATTTGTTGAATATTATGGTTAGTGGTGAAGTCAGCCTGTGATCATTGAGGAAGTTGAAATTATGTCTTTGCAAAAATTAAAGAAACTAAAGGAATAAAGGAAGGAGGCTGAGGGAGAGAGGGGAGATGGAAGTATGCTCTTCATTTTAGACCTGTACCTATGAAACAAATGAAATCCGCTTTCTTTATATTTACACATTTTTTTACATGCCGAAGCTTAGGGTAGGTGTGTGATTACATCACGGCTGGGGACACCTACATCTCACAGTGGAGTGTCTGGTTAGAGACCTAGCTATTCTGCTGCCAACCTTGCTTTCTTCCAATACATACCTGCTCCCCACCTGGGAAACTGCACTGGGTTCTGGGCTCCTGATTTCAGCCTGACACAACTGTGGCTAATGGGGACATTTGGGCAGTGAGCTGACAGATGGAAGATCTCTTTCTGTCTGTTTCTTTCAAATGAATGAATGAATAGCAGAAGGACACACATTTCTACTGTATGAAATTAATTAAATTATCTTTGAGGACTTACCTTTTTGGTGCAACTTTATTATCCATTCGAAAGAATGCTCACTACTTCTAATTTTACTATTTCTACTTCCCATTCATTTATCCCAACTGTATTTACTAAACAACTATTATGTGTTAGGCACTGACCGAGGCACTGGAGATAAACAGTTAACAAAGTTTCTCATACTCTCTAGAAGGCAAGAAAATAGATAAACCATGCATATGATTTAGGCATGATTATAGTTATGTATAAATCATGTCATAAATACAATAAAGCAAAGGCACAGATAATGGCGAAGAAGATGTGTGCTCTACAGAGCAACCCAGGATTTCTCTGATGAAGAGATGCTTGAGCAGCAGGTATAGGGGCCTGTGGGATATGCCAGGTAACCTCTGGAGAAAACAGTGCTTCAGGCAAGGGAAACAGCAAGTGCAAAACCTGGGGATTTCTGTTCCTTGTGTTCAAAAAGAGAACAAAGAGACCAGTGTGGCTGAGGTAGAGTAAATTAGAGAAGAGAGGGAGGAAATGAGGTAATGAGGTTGGGGTTAACACTGAATTCTACAGCTGTGTAAAGATGTGGGGAGGGGGGTTATTTGAGAGAGAAAAGGCCACTGGAGAATTCTGAGCAAGCAAGGAACATGGGCATGTATTAAATTTTTAAATTAAATTTTTATTTTATTTTTGAACAATTTATTTGAGAGGCAGAGAAAAAGAAAAGAATTCCTAACCACTGTTCCACTTCCTAGACGTCCACCACAGCCATAGTTGAACCAGGCTGAAGCAGGGAGCTAAGTCCGGGTTTCCCATGTGGGTGGCAGCAATCCAGTAATTCCATCCCTGCTGCCTCCCAGGATCTGTATTAGCACAAAGACAGATTCAAGAGCCGGAACAAGACCTCTAATGTGGAAAGTAGGTGTCTTAAATGGCGTTTTAACTGCTAGGCCAAATGCATGCCCCATGAGATTGTGTGTGTTGTTGTTGTTTATTAATGCTCATTTATTTATTTGAAAGGTAGCGTTAGAGAGACAGAGAAATGTTTTCATCTGCTGGTTCACTCCCCAAATGGCAATATCTGGGGCTAGTCCAGGCACAGACAGAAGCCTGGACCTCCACTGGGTCTTTATAGAGCTGGCAGGGACCCAAAGTGCTTGAGCCATCTACCACTGCCTCCCCAGGTACATTAGCAGGGAATAGCCAGGATGCCAGCTTCACCAGCAGTGGCTTAATGTGCTGTGTCATGATACTGGCCCCCACTATTCCACATATTGTTAAAGGTTCACTTTGGCTGCCTTGTGGAGCAGACTCTGTTTCCTTATTTCTTAATTGTTGCACCATGTACACTAGCATTAACAAGGTTGTTATGATGAAACTTACATATGTATGTATCTGAACACTATATGTGTATTGAACTCAAGTATGTCAAGGCAACAGAGATCAAAGAATCAATTGCACACCCTACCTGAACCTCAGGAATCTGTGGAATACAAGATTTAGGTCTCAATGGCAAGAGTGTCGCCATCTGTGGAAAAGGGTCAACATCCTTTCTTGGTTTCTCCTGCCGGAGGTGCCAGAATTTCAATTTTGCATTCACATATTTTGTTGAGGATGAATGCGTGACACAGAATCTTGGTGCCCTGTTTGTTGGAGGAAAAAAAGTCAAAATTAAACTACACAATAAGCTTCAAAATTCAAAAAGATACAAATTATGCAAAAGGTGTGCCAAAAGTCATCACTCTTACCATTTTCCTTTTCTAACCATTTCTCTTTTTCTGCCACCTACCCTTAAGAATTAGTTTCTAAAATATATCAGCTGCCTACAATCCCATTCACTAATACAAAACTCAATATACATTAGTGAAAAAAAATCATAAAAATAATATGTAATTTATTAGCTGCTGTGTAAGAAAAATCTATATATTTAGTCATGAGGAAATTTTTGAAGCAACTTATAGCTTCCAGTAAAATGAACATTAAATTTGTGATCATTTCAATGCGTTTCAATATTTATAGTACTAGATAAACATGAATGAAATTAACATTTAAAACATATGAATTTTCACATGCTTAAGTTTGCTGCTCAAATTTTATATGGTTGCTATTCACATTATCTAATTCAAGGCTTAAGTTTAAAGGTAGAAATTGTTTTGTGTCAATTTATATAAACAAAAGATCAACACTACTGCCAGAAATTAGATGGCGATCCTGTCCTCAAGTTGCAGGGTTACTTTTGGACATATGGTCAGCTCCAGCTGTCTGGCCTGTTGATAATGTTTCTTGGAAGCATGCTTTCTACTCCTGACACCACAGCTCAAGGGGCTGGTAGAAAACTGCTTCCATTTAAAATAAGAAGGCAGCAGCTCTCTCCTGGAAGTGGAGGAAAATCTGCAGTCCATACTGGTTCAGGATCAGAAGGCACCTTACACGGAACTGAGTGGCCCCACTAGCCTGTACTTCAGAACCTACTCATGGACAGAGAAACATCCAGCATCACATCCTACTTGCATGTCAACCAGGAAGTAGACATATCCACAAGACCCTTAACACACCCACGCCCTACAAGTCATGGTCAGAAATTTCTAGGTGCTTCAGGTTTCTGACCGGTATCATTATTTTGTGTGACTCCGCAAGCCCCAGGGACCTTTACCATTTTCATTTTACGTTCTATGTCATGTGTTTTCCCTGACTTGTGGTAACATACAAAACACAAAAAACGTAATGCATATGAACAAACTGTCACTTTGAGGTTTGATTATTGCTTACTGCTCTTGTCTAGATGGGGGTTAGCAGTTTTTCTGAGTATGACTTGTTGGATTCTTTCTTTGGTGGAGGGTTAGGCTTGTGATTGGAAAATAAGCTGAAATCATTATAAAATTAAAAAAAAATAAGGAGGCAGCAGGGTGGAGTGTGGGTGACAGGGAGGACAGAGTGGGAAGTATACTTGGGCTCTTAAATCTGTGTATCTGAAATTCATAAAACTTGTTGACCTTATAGAAATTTATAACTTCAATTTGGGCCCGGCGCGGTGGTGCAAGTGGTTAAGTCCTCGCCTTGCACGCCCGGGATCCCATATGGGCGCCGGTTCTAATCCCGGCAGCCCCGCTTCCCTTCCAGCTCCCTGCCTGTGGCCTGGGAAAGCAGTTGAGGACGGCCCAAAGCTTTGGGACCCTGCACCCGCGTGGGAGACCCGGAAGAGGCTCCTGGCTTCAGATCGGCATAGTATCGGCCCGTTGCGGCTCACTTGGGGAGTGAATCATCGGATGGAAGATCTTCCTCTCTGTCTCTCCTCTCTGTATATCCGCCTTTCCAATAAAAAATAATAAAAATAAATCTTTAAAGAAATTTATAACTTCAATTTTAAAAGGAACAAGCTGTTGATATGTATACTCAAGCAGATCTCAAGAGAAGTATACTGATTTCAGAAACCCAATGCAAAAGACTACAAATTGTATAATTTCATTGATTATTGATTTCCAGGAGTTGGGATGGGAGTTAAAAGAAAAGAAAGACAGGCAGGTGGGTATATTAATAAGAGAAAAGTGCAAGAGATGAGACAGGCATTGTGGGGTGGTGGGTTAAGTCACTACCTGTGGTGCTGGCTGATTCAAGTCTCTGATACTCAAATTCCAATACAGCTGCCTGCTAATGTGCCTGGGAAAGCAACAGAAAAGGCTTTATATGCATTACAATACACCTGCCTGCCAACGTGCCTGGGAAAACAACAGATGGCCCACATGATGGAGTTCCCACGTTCATGTGGGAGACCTGGAAGAAGCTTCTGGCTCCTTGCTTTTGACATGGCCCAGCTCCAGCTGTTACAGCCATTTGGGGAGCAAGCCATCCGATAAATGATCTCTTGCTGTTTCTCCCTCTTTCTCTGTAACTCTTTCAAATAAAATAAATCCTTTTAAAAATAATTTGTATTGATTTTTCACCACTTTATAGGCTACTCTTTTAAAATTAATTTTTATTTGAAATGAAGATTTACAGAGAGAAGAGACTGAGAGTTTTTCTCTGCTGCTTTGCCCCTCAAATGGCCACAATGGCTGATTGGCACTTCATCTTAGCCAAAAGGTCAAGAAGCGATAGTTGAGCCCAATCTGAAGCCAGGAAGCAGGAACTTTCTCCAGGTCTTCCTCTTGAGAGCAGGGACCTAAGGTTTTCAGCCATCCTCTGCTGCTTTCTCAGGTCATAGTATGGAGCGGGCTCAGAAGTGGAGTAGCCAGGACACAAACCGATGCCTGTATGGGATGCTAGAGCCACGGCAGATGCTGGACTGCATAAAATAAACCTTTTTAGTGTACAAGAGATGCCTGTGCCAAAGCAATTACTGTCTGACCTGACTGTGGTGGAAAACACATGAATCCATAATGTGATAGAACAACTAAGAATGAAACAAATCGCATAACTTAAAAAGTCAATAAAGAAAAGCTGCTTCTATTGCTTGCTAATGTTTCCTTAAGTTGGGTGAAACACACATAGACACGATAGTACAATTTATACCATTCTAAATGGCTTTAAATGTTTTAGAATAAGGTTTTTTTAAAGGAAAAAAAGAACAATACTGTCTCTATACACAGGAAAACACACAGCCTGTAAGTAACCTGGAATAACCGGATGAAACAGAACACCAGAGAAGAGGGCAGGAACTCATCATGGCAATTTTATTTGCAAATTTAAGGAATCAGAACGTCCATTGGAGGACCAGTGAGCTGTCCATTGTGACTAACACAGCTGGTTTTGTCACCTCTCTGCTTTAAAGCTATTAGGGTTACCGTAAAGCTTTCGGTGTGACATTCTGATACCTTGAGCCCCTACCCCAATATGGGAGATCAGGATGAAACTCTTGGCTTCTGGCTTCGGCCTGACCCAGCCCTGGGCTTTGCGGACCATTTGAGGAGTGACCCAGCAGATGGAAAACGCTGGCTTTCTAATAACTGAATCCTTTTAAAAAACAGTGAGAGTAAATGACTTTAATTCCCACTCTTTTTCTTACCAATACAGAAGCAAAGGTTTCAGAACCTCACACTGAATGTTTTTTAAATGCTCTCCAGTCCACTGAGCTCCATCTGAGAGTTTAAATTTTGATAAGACTTCTGCAGAAAGGTAGTAATCACCACTGCTCACCAGATAGCACTTCTTCATCTTCTCAAGATGTCTGAAATAAAACACATACTCACATAGACACATACATGGATTCAACATAAGTATTAAATTATCTGAAAGCCAATACTGAGCTACAGGGGCACCAAACACTTTGTGCAAACTATTTCTCACAGTTACAGGAACAGAAAAAGTTATCGATGGTAGGCCAAATAATGACCTTCCAAAGCAGTCTAGATTTGAATGACCTTACATGGCAAAAGAGACTGTAGCGATAGGATTGCGTTAAAGAGTTTCATTTGGGCAGCCCCCATGTAACTACAAGGATCCCTCTAAGATGCAGGGTCAGAGCCACAGAGCAAAGGCCAGAGGTCCGAAAGCAGAGAAGACATGTGCTGCTAGCTGTGAAGAACGCAGCATTAACCAAAGAAGCCAGGTAACGGATTCCTGCCAAGAGCCTTCTGATCTCCAGAACTTTCTAAGTAAATAAATAAAGCTTAGCTCTTTTAAGCCAGTACACTTGTTCTAACACTATATGGCAAAAACAGGGCTACATCACAGATCCTGCCAAGCCTACTAGGTTACTTTCAGGTGGCTTCCTTGATACATCTTGAAGAGTGGCAATGACCTTTTATCGCTAACTAATCAAGTCATGCTTCCTAGTTGACCACACGCTGTCTCGTGCTCTTAGAACCATGTGGAACCAGAGCGCTAGGATCTGAATGCCAGTCACACCACTGGGATAACACAGAAGCTGACAGATACATAAAATCATAATGAGAACTGTAATTTTTACTATAACTGTTACACTTTGGGGCAAATTGCAGTAGAAACCAGAGGAAGGGCTTTCCTACAGAAGGAAATCGGTGAGGTTCTTAGATTTACAGTCACTACAATACTCAGAGCTGGATAAAAGAAGTCCGGAAGCCCAGTGGGCCACCAGGGCACAGAGAGAGACTCATCAGGTATTCAGGTAAACGACATCTCCTCAAAGAACGGGACATCTGCTAACAAAGCAGGCAGCTGGGAACAGCAGGTGCTTATGCTGGCCTGAAGTATCTACGTTAGGCTAGTATGGTTATCTGACTGGTAAATTATCTTACAAAAATTCCACATCATTAGTTACTTACAGAAATAAAAAATGGTTTGATTTACAAGCAATTCTAGAAACTATGAGAAGAAGAAACACGCAAGTCCAAATAACTGGTATTTTTACTATCTGAAATCTATGAAATCAGAAAACACTGAAACCAATATGAAATAAAATAAAATGTATTAATACCGACTTCAAAAGTATAAATTGTATTTTGACACTCATTTCAGGATTTCTACCTGGGCCTGAATAACCCACATTAGTATTTTATAATTTAAAAACATATACATTGAAAAATAGAAATACCTATGAAGTCTTCCAGGGTCCTTAAGAACTTTTAACCTCTCAATATCCATCCACAGCCACCAATATCTCTCTCCTAGTGTGCCTTTTATAAATTTCTTAAATCTTTCAAACTCCTTTCTGTTGCCAATGTCGTAAGTTCTGTGAGAAACACACCAGTCCGCCCTGCTCTCTGGTCCAATGCTCTCATTCTTTGAACTTAAGCTCGCCCGTTCTAGCATTTCTTCCGACCTTTCCTTGACAGCTTGAACTGGTGGACTGTGAACACTGTAGTCAAAGAGAAACTCGTAATAGTCCTCAAATACCACTTGTGTTACTTTGTTGAAGTTTACAAAGTCTGGGCTTTCTGATAAAGGCTCTCCAGTAATGCGCTGAATGGCCGTTCTCAAAATAAATTGTATGTAGGCCTTTAAGAATTCTTCACATGTTGAGAAATACAAGGTCAAGCTGTCGTCAGCGTCCTGTTGCTGTTCCAGGTACACTCTCAGAAGAGCTTGAGAAGGGGTGTCTTGGAGAGATACGGATCCCTCTTCTTCAGATTCTGAAATTAACTTAGCAGCTTTAGATGGGCTCTTTTTTGTCCTGGGGTGAACTCCATCATCAAAAATTAAACTCTCTGCGTTAAATCATAAAGGGATTTGGTTAGACCTAAGTATGAAACTTTAATCATTAGTTCCTATCAAGCCAGGAAGCCTTCCAAAGAATTCTAAGGAAAATCTGGAACTAAACCAGTGCCAGGGGGGTGGGTGGGGGGTGGGTAACAGGGATTAACCTGAATGAGAAGTGTGATAAACTAACAGGGATTAACCTGAATGAAAAGTGTGATAAACTGAATATTTGACATTCTTAACACTAGGCATATTTAAAAAGACATTATACATGTTTAAAAGGTATTTCACACTGATATGGAATCTCAATATTTAAGGATCAATTATGTTAAGGTTATTAAATATGTCTATTAAATGATTATACCTGTGTTAATATTTTATATTATATGATAATGATTTTTATCATAGATTATATCATACGTGAACAGGTAAGTACTGGAATTAATACCAGCATTTTTAGGAAAGTCAATATTCTATCTGAAAGATTCAAATGTTGGGGTTAGCACTGTGGTACAGTAGACAAAGCTGCCACTTACAGAACCAGTATACCATATGGGCAGTGGTTCATGACCTGGCTGCTCCACTTATGATCCAGCTCCCTGTTAATGTTCCTAGGAAAGCAGAATTGTCTCAAGTGCTTGTACCCACATGGAAGATAAAGATGCAATTCCTAGCTCCTGGCTTCGGCATGGCCCAGCCCGGACCATTGTGGACACTGGGGTATGAATCAGTGGATGGAAGATCTATTTGTCTGTCTATCTCCCTCTCTCTCTGTAACTCTGTCTTTGAAATAAACAAATCTTTTTATAAAATATTATCAAGCCTATAGTCAATCACTGGAAAATTATAATATAGCAGGTTGGGCATCTCTTCCCAAGATGCTGCATGGGAAGCCTGCATCCTCAAATCCTGGCTCTGCTCCTGATTCGAGCTTCCCGCCAGTGCACACTGAGGGACACATCAGGTGATGACGCAAGCACTCAAGTCCCCACCAGCCAAAAAGGAGATCTGAATTGCCAGCTCCAGGCTTCACCCTGGCCTAGTCCCAGCTGTTGGCATTTTGGGACTGAGGTAGATGGGACATCTCACTACGTCCGCTTCTCATCTCTGACATTCAAATCAACAAACAGAAGTTTTACTATAGCAGAGGTTGAGAGACTATACTTTTGTAAACCTGTGAATGGAAATTGGGCATACAACAGGCCCCATAAATTCAAAGGGATGAATGTGGTAGAGGGCTAGCCAGTCATTTCTGCTCCCCACCTACTGTTATCCTTTTCTTCCTGTTTAACTTTTTTCCTCTAACTTTCTATTACAACATTTTGGCAAAACAGCAAGCAACTTACAAATGCAGCTATTCCTCAGATGGCTTTCTCTTTATCTTGAGATTCGGTTTCGATACTAGAAAACTGTTACTTCTCCTCCCCCGAGGCTGCTTTACTTTAAAGGAATCACATCAAGTCAAATCAAATCTAGGGGTTTTTTTCTCTAGGAATATTAAATGTAATCATTCCATTTCTGGATGATTCCTTCTATTGTCATAGAAGTTTCATGTCACTCACAGGAGCTCCCCACGGTAGGAATATGTTCATTTTCCAAGGTCAAAAACAGTTGGAACTTAAAAGCAGAAGGGAAACTGCATTTTTAGTAACAACCATTTCCTTTCAAGAAGACAGAAGCTCTGCACCCACTCTATTCTAAAGGAAAATTATGAGAGGAAATAAAGACAGACGTTTATTTGGCCACATGTTCATTATGAAGCACTAAGCCAGGAATGTTCTATACATTTAGTAGGCATCACATTCTAATCCTGCACGTGAGAAAAGCAAGGTTTCACTAAGCCAAATAGTTAGTCAAAGACCACACAGCTAATAAGCGTCAGAATTGGGTTCTAAATCCATCTCTTTTTCCTTATGCCTAGCTGTCCCTCAAAAAACAAGATGGATTGGGGCAGATAATCTTCTCCCCTACAATGATAAAGACAGACTTAAAAAAGAGTTCTCAAATCATTCTTGTCCTTTTGTGCTTACCAGAAGCAGATGGAACACCCGGTGATTCTATTTTGTCCTGGGGTATACAGCAAGGTAAGGAAAAGGTTACCACTGTTTCTTGACTTTGTTTTGCTAATGTAAACCAATCTTTTGTTTGAGTATAGGAGGCCTAGGAAGAAAGGACTTAGTTTAATGTAAATTTAGGAGTATATTCCACCAGTCCCAAATATAAACAAATTGTAATCATTTGTATACTACAAATGTTAAAGAAAAATATTCTATAAAAAAAATGTGCTCAGAAAAATTCATTAGCTAAGACAAATGGAAAAGAAACGTTAATGCAGGCATTTTTCATATCTGATAACTAAAGGGAAAAAATGAACCCAATTCCCTTCAAATTCTTCTCTACTCATCAGTCTCAGGCTACTGCTGATGACAGCAGGGTACCAAACCCTACTTCCTGGATTCACTAGAAATTCACGCCATTTGACTTTAACTTGGCAGTCACTGGGGTGCATTAATCCACTGCATATTTGTCCTAACTTTGCCAATTACAACATGCCTCCAATTTGGCCTGACCTGGATCAGTCTTTTGTTAACAATTCTCCCGGTTGTTTTTTAACAGTCTCTACTCTTCAGACCACTGCAAACTTCTCCAGGCTCAGTCACTCCTGTGCCTTAGCCTTGATTTTCACAACCTGCACTGGACACTTCCTGGAGACTGCGTACTGCCTCTGCTTGCTTCTGAAAGCAGCAATTTGCCTTTGCATCTTTGAGCCAGCTAACCCAATTCCTAAGCAGATTCACAAGCTCCTATTATACTTCTCCTGGGAAAATTCCTCTGCTTGCCTCTCTCGGCAATGTTCTCCCCTGTTTTTCCTAGAGAATCCAAGATGTTCAGTCAGACCAGAGAAAGGTCCTGAAGCCGCCTCTAGAGATGCTCACGTCTCATACTGCAGTATCTGGGATATGGTCTTGCCTCTTCTTCCGATCCAGTGTTCCACTCATTAATGTACACTTTGGAAGGCAGAAGATGATGGCTCAAGTACTTGGGTCCCTGCCATCCACATGGAAAATACAGATACAGTTCCTACCACTTAGCTTTGGCCTAGACCAGTCCTGGTTGATACAGGCATTCAAAGAGTGTAACAAGAAGATGGAAGGGTTTTTGGTTTGGTTTGGTTTGGTTTTCCCTTTTTCTCCTCCCCTCCCTTTCTCTCTCTCTCTGCTTTTCAAATAAAAATAAGTAAACTTAAACAAAAAACAGCAGAGAAGGGAGTGTCCAGCATTCTTCTCATTTCTCATTTCTTAGTTCTCAAACCAAATCAGCTGTCAGCACTTAACCTAAGGAATACTCCCTGAAGACAAAAGGCTCAAACATATTATGCAGAATTAAATCGGGCCACCCATGAGACCAAAGCGAGAAAAAGAGGGGGTCGGTGTTGTGGCGTAGTGGGGTACAGCCGCTGCTTGCAATGCTGGTATCTGATATGGGCGCTGATTGAGTCCCAGATGCTTCACTTCCAATCCAGCTCCCTGTTAATGTCCGAGGGAAGCAGTGGAGGATAGCCCAAGTGCTTGGGTCCCTGACATTCAACACAGAAGACCTATAAGAAGCTCCTGGCTCTTGGTTCCTGCCTTTAGTCTGGCCTAGCCCCAGCAACTGTGGCCATTTGGGGAGGTAACCAGTACACAGATTTCTCCTGATCTTAATCTCTCTTCCTTTGTAACTCTTTCAAATAAATAAGTCTTTTTTAAAAAGTGAGAGAAATAAGTGAGAGGTACTTTTGATTTAGTCATTAGAAGAGGTGGATTTTTGCATGCAGATTCTAATTCACTTCTTTCGATTTAAAAAAAATATGCATTTATTTATTTGAAAAACAGTTACAGAGATAAGGAGAGACAGAAATAGAGATGTTACATCAACTTCTTGTTTCATTCCCCAAGAAGTTGCAAGGGCCAGAGCTAAGTCAGGCTGAAGCCAGGAGCCAAGAGTTTCTCCTGAGTCTCCCATGTGGGGGCAGGGACCCATGTGCCACTCAGTCCACCTTCTGCTGCTTTCCCAGGTGCCTGAGCAAGGAGCTAGATTGGAAGAGGATCAGCTGGGACTCAAGCTGGCACCTATAAGGAGGTGCAGGGGTTGTAGGTGGCAGCTTTAACTTACTATGCCACTATGTCAGCTCCAAAAAAGACTGTAATCTACTTTTCTTTCTTCTTTTATTTAAAACCATATCATTTATTATCAACCTTATGTCCATTCCACAATTATTTTCTCGGGGCTTTCATTGTGGTACAACAGGTTAAGCCTCTACCTGCCATGCCAGCATTCCATAGGAGTGTCAGTTCAAGTCCTGGCTGCTCTACTTGTGATCCAAGTACCTGCCAATGTGCCAAGGAAAGCAGTGAAAGATGGACAAGTAGCTGGGTCCTTGCCATGCACATAGGAGACCCAGAGGGAATTCCAGATTCCTGGCTTCAACCTGGCCCAGGCCTGACCCTTGCAGTCATTCAGGGAGACACTGCATCTGTCTCTCCCTTTCTGTCACCGTTCTCCTTGTTTAAGTGGTACAAATGAATTCATGCCCTTAAAACAAGAAATTTCACTGGAGTGCCGAATCACGAAAGAATACTCCTATTTTTACCTCTCCAAGAGAAATGTAGAACTTTTTCATGATTGTAAGATTGTCTTTGTCTTCAACAGGAGGCGGCGGTGGACTGGGTTTTTTCTTCATGACCCAGGAAGAAAAATTTGTACCAACTGTGAAATTCATGCCTGATTCACTCCATCTTACTTGTGAGACCAATTTGGCTAACCTGCATTTTAGAAATCATACAATTTCAAAGTGAGTTTTGCATATGGTAGAATGCAGAAGAAGCAAAAATTTGAATATTCTAACACAACACTCCCTCCTAACTCCATAGAATGATTCTCTCATGATGTGTTAACACCAATGATTTATCCATAGGATTGCTACCCCCCAGCTAGTATCCATTAGGAAGTACTCTGTTCTAAATTGTCTTGTTTTGCAGCCATTGCTTTGGCATAGAGGATAAAGCTGCCACCTACAATGATAGCATCCCACATGGGTGCCAGTTCGTGTCTCAATTGCTCCATTTCCAACTCAGCTCCCTGAAAAACAGAGGATGATGGCCCAAGTGTTTGTCCCCGACCATCATATGGGAGATCTGAATGAAACTCCTGGCTCCTGGTTTCGGCCTGGCCCAGCCCCAACTATTGTAGCCCTCTGGGATAAGATCAAGTATGTAATACATATAAAAGATATCATAAAGGGAAAAAAACTTGGCCCCATACTAGAAGATTCTTTTTCATGCCACACTGACAGTCATTTCTGAATATCTATCATGAAAATACCATTATCACTAATAGATGATTTTAAAAGTATAACATCAAGCAAGTACAACCAAGTAGATTTTTAGGTACTGTTAATGTTAAATCTCTTTGGAGACAACCAAATGATTCTTGACAATGCTCCATCACTCTTATTATAGAACAGGTGAAATCTAAACTCTAATGCATCAAAATTATGTATATAAAGTATAAAAAAAGTGGTTCCAGGAGGAAAAAAAATAGGGCTATGAGTAATGATAGGACTATACTACCTATATTCAAAGTAGCAGTCACTTTCTAGAAATGCTGGGAGTCTTTCCTTTTTGATCCATTTGATTCCTTGTTCACGATTAAGACACTGTTAGGAGAAAATGAAAAAAAGAGAAGAGTGTTAAAGATGGGCCTTTTAGGACAAGCAAGGCCTAATACTAAAATAATAATTCCCAGCTGTTGCCAGGAGCCCTAGCGCCCCCTGTTGTTCACACAGGATAGAACAATTGCCCTGGGTCACTACTGGGCAGCCACTTCTACCCCTCTGGGAACTATTTTAAAATTTTTTCAACCACCCTGTGTTGCCATTTTACAGATTAATACTTTGTATCCAAAAGAACTAATTTTTTTTAAATGGAGGCACAATGAGAATAAAATGAGCCAGTCTAAGTATTTTCAAGGTCAAAAAATAAGGTAAAATAATTGCAAGGGGCAGACATTTGGCAGAGGGTTTAAGATGTAGCTTGGAAGGGCTGTTGTAGCACAGAAGGTAGAGCTGCCACCTGTAGAAGAGGGCTCGAGTGTTTGAGTCCTTGCACCCATATGAGAGACCCAGGAGAGGTCCCTGGTTCCGACTTTCTCTTTCTCTTTCTCTCTCTCTCTGCCTTTCAAATTAAAAAAAAATTTTTTTTACAAAGATGTTGCTTGGTAAAACTAAACAAGTGGAACAGCAAAAGATCAACACAATGAAGAGACATCCAACATAATGGGGAAAAATATTTGCAAACCACCTGACAAAATATAAAATTGTGAATATATAGCAACTTTAAAAACTCAACCAATTCAGTTAAGAAATGGACAAAAGACTTCAAAAGAAAGTTCTCAAAAGAAAAATGCAGGGGCTGGCACAGTGGCACAGCACACTAATCCTTTACCCTTGGTGCCAGCATCCCATATGGGTGCTGGTTCACGTCCCAGCTGTTCCACTTTACAATCCAACTATCTTGTATGGCTGTGCACCCACATGGGAGACCAAAAGAAGCTTCTGGCTCCAGATCTGCACAGCTCCAGCCATTGTAGACATTTGGGGAGTAAATCATTGGATGGAAGATCTTCTCTGTCTCTCCTTCTCTCTGTATATCTAACTTTGCAATAAAAATAAATCAATCTTTAAAAAAATAAAATAAAAATAAAAAATACAAACAGGCACAGTAGCTTAGTGGCTAAAGTTCTCGCTTTGCATGTGCCAGGATCCCATATGAACACTGGTTCATACCCCAGCAGCTCGACTTCCCATCCAGCTCCTTGCCTGTGGCCTGGGAAAGCAACAAAGGACGGCCCAGGGTCTTGGAACCCTGCAACCGTGTGGGAGACCCAGAAGAAGTTTCTGGCTCCTGGTTTCAGATCGGCTCAGCTCTAGCCATTGTGGCCACTTAGGGAGTGAATCAGCAGACAGAAGATCTTCCTCTCTGTCTCTCCTCATCTCTGCATATCCGACTTTCCAATAAAAAAAAAAAAGATCTTTTTTAAACAAAATCTTTTTAAAAGAGAAACAAATGGCCAACAAATATATTTTAAAAAAAAAAGTTCAACATCACTAGTCATGAGGGAAGCGCAAAATCAAACCACCATGAGTTATCAGCTCACTCTTGTCAGAATGGCTAAAACCCAAAAAACAACAAATGCCAGCAATCACGTGGATAAAGGGGAGCACAAATACGTGGCTGATGGTATTGGAAATTAGCACAGCCACAATATCGAGCATGAAGAAAGAAATGAACTCAAATGTATTTTCTTACCATAATGTTGTAGTTGACATTAATGGCCTCATCTGCATAAGGGGCATTAAGGTGAGCAGGTTTAACACCAGTCTTTCCTTCCCTTACAACATCATAGATGGGACTGCGAGGCTGGCAGCTTTGTAGGACTTTTTTCAGTTGCTTTTCCAGATGATGTGGCGCATTGTTAACTACTTCAAAAACTCCGTAATCCACATTAAATCGAATTGCCTCTGAAAATGTCTGCAACATGTACACGAAAAAAATTAAAATATTGTAAAACCCAGAGACTCGCAGTCTTTGGAAAGAGCTGATATATTCTTTTCCTTCTGTTTGTTCTCTTAATGATTTTCCACAATACATTTCTGTAAGTATAGGGATTCATTCCCCATCCTCCCCTTACATGTACAAACATGTACATACATGTACATACACGTACAGGGAGCTCATCTTCTTAATCACAACTTCTACCCTTGTTAGGAGCTGGGAGTTTCCCTGGCTACGTGTCAGGAGCCTTTTCCTTCCCAGGACACATAGACCAGAAGACAAGCATCGGGTATGGTGGGAATTCCCTTTGTGTAAATACGTTGCTTCTGTGCTTCTTACACATACACACCTGGGTCTCTGGTAAGCCATTCTCTTAGAAGGGGCTGGGTTAGCAGGGAAGATTTAGGAAAGGGAAACAAAACAGAAAATAAATAAATAAAAGAAACCGTGTTCCTGTTATCGCCTTCGTCCCTAGGAGCCAGGAAAATCAACAATCTCCCCGTCCCAAAGGACACTGAGGACAATGTGTTCTTCATTTAAGACCATTTCAACAACATTCCTTCATGATGTGACAAGAGAGAGAGACACTGCAAGTGCCATTTCTGAGCTTTTCTCAGTAATTAGTGATGCTGCCAATTTTTATTTAAAGCTAGCCAGCTAATACATGACAGTCAGAAGTCTGAATGTCATCTTGCCAATAAGTAGCTCTGTCATTCTGAGTATATCATTGGGCATATTTAGGATCTCTGTCTCCAGGAGAAGCAAATGGGGCCCTATCTTTTTCTTTCTTTTTTTTTTTTTTTTTTTTGTCTACCGAATTCAGAATCAATTTCCTTTTTCAGGGACTGGCTTTGTGGCACAGTGGGTTAAGCTTCCCTGTAGAAACAAGTCTCCCTGGACCCAGCGATAACACATTTTCCCTGCAATACCATACAGGTTCACATACAATAAAATTGGCATAACTGACCACTCTCTGTACACCAAGCAGAGGGCTAAGAAACAAGTTAGGAAGCTGGGATTCAAACCCAAGGTGTTTTGATTCAAAATCCTATGTGCCTGTTTCTCTGTTTTGACTAGTAAAGGCCCAGAGGTGTGAAGCAACATGGTGATATATGAGGAACTCTGAGCAGTTCGATGCAGTTGAAGTAGAATAGCTACAACTGAAACAGTTTAAGGAACAGGGACAGAAGAAAGGAGACAGATGAGACAGCTAAGATGACATCATCAAGAGCTCTGCATGCTATTTTTAAAAAGTTCAAGCATTCTCTTGATGCTCTGGGTAATAGGGAGACATGGTTGAAAAACAACAAAATCCAAATAAGGGAGCAACATGTCTTCTCCAATTTATGTCTTACAAAGTTCCATGGGTAGCAGTCTAGAAGAGGTGGCGTTTGCTCTCTAGCTCACGAGCTGTGGAGGGAGATGAGCAGAGCCATCACCACACTGTAGGTCTGGCTGCTGTCACAATCTGGTTCTGTGTGACCACGGAATCACCTCTCTGCAAGGGTACCATCCCTGTCACACACAAGTGCTGGGGATGTTTGTAAGGCAACTATCATTTTTTTTTAAGTATGTTGATTTTTTTAAAAATCTGAATTTCTAGATATTGATTTGTGTGAGAGGCAGAAAGAAAGAGAGCAAGTGAGAGCATCCCGGCATCTTGGCTCCCTCCCCAGCTGCCAGCACTAGCCAGGGCTGAAGCTGGGGTAAAAGAACTCATTCGAGGTTTCCTATAAGAGTGCAGAAACCCGATTACTGCAGCCATGTCATTGCCTCCCAGGGTCTGCTTATGCAAAAGCCAGGCTTGTGAGCCAGAACTAGAACTCAAACTCACACACCGTGTGGGCGTCTTGATCACTTAGCTAAACTGGCCATCCCTTATATTCAACTTACATAGAAAAACTGCAACCGAGGCAGGTTAAATGATCTTTTCATTCCCTAGAGTCTGGATTCATGGCTACTAAACTGTCTTACATCTAGGGCTGACAAATCATTTTTGTTAGGGTTTGCAATGGAGAGAGCCACTTAGGATGCACTGTAACCTCCTAAAACACAAAGCCTGAGGAACTAAAAACGCCATTCCCAAAGTTCCTGTAACTCTGGTTCCACATGCAATTCACGTGGACTCATGGAAACACTTGAACTGTGAGTGGGGGGAACTGGGGAAAGCAGTGAGGCATGTCCATTCCCAGGTAGGACAGCTGAGGACCACAGTGCAAGGAGAGACAAAGAACTGATCCAAAACAAGGGTTTTATAGGAAAATCATAAAGGAAAAAAAAAGGAAAATTAGATTTTTTTTATAATGTTCCTACTTATAAGAAATGTAGGCATGATATGTTAAAATATAATTTTTTTGAAACTTAAGAATTCCTCTTTGTGGAATTAATGAAAATGAAATGGGCTCTTTGCCAAGGATAATTAAGTGCTTTCCCATTTTGTAAGTCATACATTAGAATAGATCTCAGAAGGCCCTTACTAGCACTGTGATTCTAGTATTATAAAGATGAGATGGATAACTAATTCAAAGCTTCTGCCAATTACTTGGCTAAAACAATATCAACATTTTTTAATGCTCACATGCCAATTATCTGAGCACAGAAAATACAAACATAAATAAAACACTGATTTTTGCCTCTAGTAGGAAATAGATGATCATTTTCTCTCTGATGAAAAGTGTCAACAAAGTACAGAAATACATTCAAATTCATGGGTTTTATGTTTGGGACCCTGCCATCACACAGGAGACCCAGGTGAAACTCCTGGCTCCTGGCCTCAGCCTGTCCCAGTGCTGGCTGTTGGCGCCATCTGGGGAGTGAACCAGTGGTTAGATCTTTCTGTCTGTCTCTTCCAATCTTTTCGCAACTCTGTCTTTCAAGTAAATAAATCTTCATTAAAAAACAGAGAGGAGAGAACTGGCTAAATTAAGAAGAATGATTAAATAGAAGAAATCATTCTTTTTGAGACTTATCAGTGAAGAGTGGTTTTAATAAACTAGCTAATTCCAGTGTGCCTTCTGCACTTGGTGGTCTGCCAGGCCATGACTGTATCTCCAAGAAAAGAGCCTGTGTCTTTAGTTCTTAGCAAGATTGCCCAGTTTCACTGCTCTTTTGTTAAAGCGCTTTCATTTGTCCAACATGTATTTATCATTCCTAATTAAATTAGATATTATCATGGATGATATATTGCTATATTAAGCTTATGCAGAGTTTCCTCCACAAAGGATGAATGAGACATGGATCCCTGCCTTGGAGTACATATAATCTAACACAGGATGACAGATAAGAAATTCACCCAAACCCACTGCAATGGAAGGATAAACTAAAGTCAACACATGCAGTGAAATCATATTTACTCAAAACTATCCCTTCAACATTCTTGAAAGCACCTCTAAAGTTCAATGTTGTCCATCAGTGTTTTGCTCAAGAAGTTGGTCACAGCCAGTTTTTCGCCGCAGCACTGAAGTACATCATTAATTCTTCAGTTGCTTGGTAGGCTTGTGTTTAAAGCTCAACTTGTACAAAAATGGGTAAGTATAACGTCCACATCACCCTTAGCATAACAGGATGGCCACACTATTGAGAAGCAGGTAGGGAAAGACTTACAGAAGGGATGTGAGAGTCTCCTCCCCTTCAAGTTACAACCTCTGGCACATACATTTACAGATTAGCTGGACACAAAACCATTTCCACCCTTTAAGTCACCCGTGCTCTCCTTGCAGTGCGCAATTAGTTGGATTTGTATGATAATGTGTATATATTACCATTCCAAACATGCATAATAAGCACAAATGGAAATAGAAACAAGAAGTGGGAAGCCAGAGAAAGACACAATAACAATGTTTAGGAAACTAAGGAAGATATATGGAGACAGTGAAATGCTAGAGTTGGATCCTGAAGAATGAGCAGATATTCCCAGGGCAGAGTAGGGAAAGAAGGAAATCCCTCAAAAGAAACAGCTGATCAGCCAAAGCAGAGGAGCATCAAATACTAGGACCCTCTGTGCTAACTGCAAGCAGTTTCACATTACTGAGGGGACAACAGCAGGACATGGCCTGGAGAAAGTCAGACAACTACTTCATCAAGCACCTTCTATTAGCTGCTGTAGCTCTCAACATATGCTCTTGTATCAGTGGTTCTCAGCAGCATCATTATCATCTACAAACCTGCTACAAAGACAAATTATCAAGTTCCTCCCTGGAATCAGAAATCCTTTTATAATTTCTAACCCATACTCAAATTTAAGACTCACCGGGTTAGATACATGGCTAGAGAACAGTCAGCCCATGAGCCACATGAGCCACAAAATCATTTGGTCTGATCTTGCCGAGGCAGCCACAGGCAGGATTTGAAATTGAAAAAACTCTAGAAGGCTAATTTTTAATTGGATAATTTTGCATGGACTATATAAATAACCAAATGGCCCTTTTCAGAAAAACGGTTCCTCCTCCCTGAAAGCACAATGTGAAGGTTGGTGAGGAGCTTTTAACTGGACCAAGACAAAACTCCAAGGTTCACATTCTGTCCATCCCTTTAAGCTTTTACTCAGGTTTTATATACACACACAAACACACATACATACAGGCACACACATGTAAATTACAAGGGTACTTCAAAAAAGCTCTCAGAAGGGCCAGCATTGTGGCATTACAAATTAAGCTGTCACCTGCAATATCAGCCTTCCATATTGGAGCGCCAGTGCTGAACTCTCCACTAGTCCACTTTCAATCCAGCTTCCAGCTAATGGGCCTGGGAGAGTAGTGGAGGAAAATCCAAGTACTTGGGACACTGTCACCTAAGTGAAAGGTCCTGGCTCTGATCTGCACTGGCACTAGCCATTGCAGGCATCTGGGGAGTGAAACAGAACGGAAGGATCTCTGGCTGGCAGTCTCTCCTCTCTGTCTTCAAATATGGATATTATATACATATAATAAAAAACAAAAGAAAGGAAAAAAGCAAAAAAAAAAATTAACAGATGT